CCCTATCGATATGTCCTCCCGCACCTCCAGTTCTTCTCCGGACATTCTTGGGCCACCTGGCGACGCCGATTATTTGATCTCCTCCCCATTTGTCCCCTTCTCCGGTCGCCAAAGCTTCATGTCGCCCGCCAACTTCCGCCTCCTGCAAAGTCCGCGGACGGCGAAGGGCAAAAGGCGGCCGCGTGTGAGTTTGAGCCCTTCGAAAAACGCCCACTCCATAAAGTTCAATGACGTTGTGCTACCTGCCTCCCCGACGACGAAACTGAACGGCCAGCGCGGTGGAATGTCTCCCGATAAGGGTCCGGCCGACGGGAATGTCAGTCCGTGGAGGATCCGGGTAACGCTCGAAGCGACACAAGATGAAGAAACGAACCAAGGCAGCCCTTCGCGAAAACGGTTGAAGCCATCAACGACAACGATGAAAGTACCCCTCAAAGACGATACAGAACAGACTCCACGCAGACGCAGAGGTCGCCCTAGGAAGTCGGACATTTGGCTGCAGGATGCGACTCCCCGCGGAGGTAGTCCAGGACATACCCCGGGTCCAGGAAATACACCAGGCCCTGGACATACCCCGGGCCCAGGGCATACTCCGGGTCCTGGGGGGACAGGTCAGAAGAGAAAACGAGGCCGGCCGAGAAAAAGCGCACCGGCGCTCGATGTGGTAGAACCAAGCGAACAGCAGGTGGAGAACCAAGAGATTGAACAAGAGGCGCTGATAGAGCCCGAGCAGAGATGGAGTCCGTTGAATCTGGCAGCAGACCCGGGATCCGACGATGACATTGGGGGGGATCAAGGACTCGAGTTCAATGACGATTTTGGTTATGGCGACCGATTGGAACTACCTGATTCCGCTGTGCGCGATGGGACTGGTCCCCGAGTGACATTTGAGCAAACTTTTGAGACTCCAAATGTTGACCATGTCGACCAAGGATTTACGGAGAACGACGAGTATAACCTACATTCAACACCTTCCAAAATGCCATCCCCAACCCGCGATACCTCGATTATCTCGCCAGCGAACACATTGCATGCCGGCCGCACCCCGAGACCATCACGCCTTTACCCCACACCAACCTCATCATCTGCAGCAGAAGAAGATAAGACAGAGCAGGCTCAGAAAACTAGTGCTACCTATGATAAGGATCACCTTGAGAGCGGGGCACGCCTCAGCGCGGATCCGACCGAGGAACACAGGGAATTTGACTCTATAATGGAAAGTGAAGGGTTCAGCATGGTCTCGCTGGATACATTGCCATCCGCTAAACAACATGAGATCAAGAGCGCGAGCCACTCCCAAGCCGCCAAGAGTTCTCTAAAGCCTTTCTTAGAAAGGGAATCAAATGGCGTCTTGAAGCGAAGAGCCTCGGCGGTCCAGAATCAACAAGAGGACAACCTTGTTCGGAAGCCCCGGTCGGAGTCTAAGCAGCGGAAACAGTCACCAGCCCAGCTGTTCCGCCAGTCAAGCGAGGCCAATGCCCACTTAGACCGTCCATCATCCCAAGACAGGCTCGAACCTTCCAGAGACATGCCCGGATCGACGGCGATATCATCTGAGTCGACTTTTACTGGACAAAAGCGGGGGCCGTTGACTAGGTTCGTCAGAATAGTTCGTGCAGGCTTAGCTCTCGAAGGGCCTCTAAGAAACTCAGAAGAGGGGCAATCTTCGTACCAGTCAAACTCAAGAAGACTTAGCTTCTCGGGTGATCCAGATTCTATGCTGGACACGTCTAGGAAAAGGCTGGAACATGTTTTTGGTGACTTGACCCCACAAGTACAACAAGAGCTGCAGGCAGGCTTGGCATTTGGGCAGGAACTCGCGAAGAGGCGGATCGAAAGAGAAATGGAACAACACAGACAAATGGAGTTGGCGGAGGTGACTGGAAGAAACACTGTTCGGGAAACCAGGGAATGGAGTGGCTCCAGTTCACCACAGCAAACACCGCCTAAGGCCACCGACTATGGCACACCGGGCACGTTTATGAAACGGCGGATGGAAGAATGGCAACGGGAAAGGGAAGCTATCAGTCGAGAGATCCAGATGGCAAACTCTAGCCAGGTTATCGTCATTGACAGCGACGATAATGATCAGTCGAATATGCAAGATGGCATGTATGAAGACGGCGATGAGATAGAGTACGCGGCGGAACCCGTTCAAGACGATCAAGATGACGACGCCCACGTAGAGGCCGAGCGCCTAGACGGGGAAGACGAGGATGATGGCTACGAAGATATTTGGCAGCAAGAAGCTCGCAGTCAAGGCAACCAATCAGATCACTCTTCACTACTTGAGGATGACCAGGATGGGGAGCACCTTAGGCAGGATGGGTCTAGCCCGTGGAAGAGTGGCTGGACTCCTGCTCGGAATCAGAATGGCAAGATCTTATCGCCGGCTTATTGGACAAACGAGCGGGAGACTGTGCCATTCTTGGGCCGGTCGAGGGTCAAACAGTTACAGGAGCAAGAAGTTGATTTGACGGCTCTGTACCGTGCCCAGGATACACCAAAGCGTCGCCACTACTACTATGGGAAAAGCAGTCCGCCGAGCAGTGCAATACGAGGCTCTGTAGGCCGTTCGCCAGCTTCTGTGGTACAAGAGGAGCACTATGAGCATGGTTTCAACCAGGATCAACAGTCAGAGGGCTACGTGGAGTCCAGCCCTCGCCGGGACTCGGAGGATGAAACATTCCAGATCGATCCCACAACCAGATTGGAGATGGCTAGACAACGCCAAGACCCTGGGATGGAAGTCAACAAGATTGGGGGGATGTCAGATGCCGTTACATCCGAGAGACAAACTGCTCCAGAGGTGGGAGACATCACGCCGGAACGTCCACGGCATGCAAGCCCTGGCAGTCAAGCATCATCCTGGTTCCAGAAAATCACTAATTTCACGCCTGGTTGGCTCAGAGCACCGAAGTTTGAACAGCAAGGGCGGGGTTTGGAAAATCCTTCGGGCGACGAAGATGAGGAACCGCCCGCCGTTGAGTCAGCGCATGATGGATATGATAATGAGGATTATGGCGATGATGAAGTCAACTGGGGAGACTTAGGGGAAACCCCACGACCTACTCGATTTGAAGAGCCAGAAGATGGGAAACAGAGTTTCGCTAGTTCCGATTCTTTCCAAGCGGACGACGATGCGCACGCTTCACTGGACGAGAAGGGTGACAGAGAAGAAGTAGCGGAGGGGCAGGCTTCACGAGAGCAATCGCCCTCTTCCTTTTCCTTGTACTTTTCCGATGATCACTATCGCTTGCTGCATCGCCTCTATCGCTCGGCAAAACTGTATCCTGAACGCTTCCCTTACCATCCGGCGCCTGGTCGCTCCGATATGATTGGCGACTGGATCTGGACCTCGGATGGAGTCTACGGAGTGCCAGTCACAGAGCTTCAGTTTGGCATAGTTGATAGATTCGCGCAGCAGCTATCCCAAGCCGATTCAAAGGCCGGCGGAACGGGTCAGATTCCTTGGACGGAAGCTGACGTTCACAGAAGATTGATCAGTATCATTATCGGGGAACAGATCAGACAAGACCAGAGGGATAGGAGGCTCCACGAGGATCAACTGAGGGAAGAGTATCCGCGAAGCAGGGACACAGCGTACGGGACGTGGCGCATATGATTTCTCAAACCTGCACGTCGCTTGGCTCCTGCCGCCTGAACTCGGCACACTACATCTATTTTTTGAGTACAGACTTTGTTGGCACACAAAGTTAGCACACGTTGTAACGACTTATATTCTTGCTTTTCTTGTTGAGAGGATACGTTGTTTCGGGTCTTCACGGGTGGCGAACCAGCGGAATTGATCTTGAGGGTCATTGGGTGGCAGGCTCACTTTACGTTTTGGCCTTATGTTCTTGTACAGCATCTATTTTGTCTACGTACTATTCCCCCTCTGTTTCATTTGTCTTGGACTCTCCACACCCGATTGGATCTCCATGAGTCAGCTGCCAAACAATTTTTTCATTTCTTACTCGTTTATATGTTGGAATGGAACGCAACAACACCATTAGTGTATGCAGCACATATGGTTCCCTACTTTGGCAAAAGAGCGCACCTGTCAGCCAGGTTCGGAACACAATTGTTTGGCCTGGAATCTGATTCGCAGAATTGACTTTCTAGTGCCCCTTGTATGGACCAATGAATGCAGCACAGTTGACCGATCTTCATGGAACGTGTCGTGCTGCGGGCATCGGTGTTTGCTCTGTGACGTCCGCAACGTCCCGTCAACTTGGTGAGTTTCTCAACCTTTCGACCCTATTCCTTTATGGGTCGTGGTCAAGTAACGCTCCTACTGCCACGTTTACTTCTCCACGGGGTGGCTACATAGTAGTTTCACGGAAATAGTAGCAGTCACAGAAAACGGGGGTTGACCTGCCACCTGCCAACTACTACTTACTTCATGGTCTGACGAACTCGAGGTACATCATCGGCCCTCATTGGTCCCAACATTGTAGTTCTGACTGCACGGTGCAGACATCCTGGAGCGCCAGCCAAGCGGAAGCAGGCGACATACGAGCCTAGCCCCATTTTAGAAGCCTGATGTCGGGTTGTGTCTCCTATGGCGCCTAAAACCGGATTTCCTGGCCGCCTCGGGTAAGGAAAGTATGCAGGGCGAGAAACGAAGGTATCGTAGTAGTAAACCGTTCCCCGAAGTGATAGATGTATCGGGTGCTGTTGGTAGTGAGTAGTAGTAGTAGGAGGAGTGACCGGGTCGATATGATGTATATAAAAAGGGGGATTTCCAAATGGCCCGTAGTATACACAATCTATTGTGTGTCTCTGTGACAGTGTCTTTGTGTGTGCCTGAGTTCAATTACAACTGTTCAAACAGTTCTGTCAGCTTAGCCAAAGTGAACTGCAACGGTCAAGTCCACCACCATACTACTGTCCAGTCCCTTTGAATCGATAAGCAAAGAACAGATCAGCAGGAAGATCAGGCAGACAGAATTTACATTTTGTATATGTACGGAAAAGAAAAAGAAAAACAAGGAAAAATGGGGGTCAGCAATCCAGTCAAGTATGTCTTGCGCCTGTCCCTGTTCACCAACAAGCGAACCGAGCAGCAGCAGCAGCAGCAGCAGCAACAACAACAACAACAACAACAACAACAACAACAACATCGACAACATCACTCCCACTCCCCCTCCTCCATCTCCCCCATCTCCCCCTCCTCCTCTACCTGGAAAGGGAAAGAAATCGACTTTGACCCGCCCATCGAGGTTCGCTGGGGCGCAGTACAGTACCCAGACGACTATGCAGCATTGACCGATGGTCATGCCCACATGGCGGTGAGCGCAATCGACTCGCATCTGGGCAGCAGCAACAGCAGCAGCAGCAGCAGTAGCCGCAGCAGAAGCAGCGGTAGCAGTAGTCGGACAGGGTTGGTGCGCATCGCCAGCTGGGCCAGTCTGGCTGGAGATCGATGTCGGTGGACGATGGAACAGGAACGGAAATTAGCGATTGCGAGAAGCGAACTGGCTCGATGTCAGAAAGCTTGGAGTTCGGAGCAGGAATTGTGGATTGCTCAAGTATGTTTCATCCCCTTTCTCTTTCAGCTATGTTTCAATGAATCTCTTATTGGAATTTTCATTCTTTCTGTGTGTGCGCGTGTGCTTCGCTCTTGCTTGTTCACGGTTGTGAGACAAACAAATCTATACCCCTGTCTGTCTGACTTTCACCAAACAAATGAACACACCACCACCCCTCCACACCACCCCCATCTCACACATTGACGGGACATGACATACAGCAGCCCCTGCTGTACCTGCATATGACTAACCTTTTCACGTATCTACGTAAACCAGATCGAAAAGTTGCACGAGGAGAAAGAAGCCCACGAACAGTTCATCCACCACCGAGCGAAACAACAGGACGAAGAACAGCAACATTTTCGCAAATCCTGGATTCGACGGAAGTCTTACGAAGAGCAGCAGCAGCAACAACAGCAGAAGCAGCAGAAGCAGCAGGTTGCTCCTACTACGCAAAGGACTAATAGTCGATTGCGGCGGATACGGCGCATGGGATCATAGTTATGTTAGGGTCGTCGGAAGTATAGTGCCTCGCTAGGCTCAAAAGTAAGTAGATAGTCTATGGAGCTTTCGACGTCATGATTGGCACCGACGTGAAACGATAACCATTTCTGACAGGTGATTTTCTGTTGATCGATCCTTTTTCTCGCTGGTCAGGAATTAGGTGTTTAACGTCATTTTTACGACTTCGTCTGTGTGTCTGAATGTGTCTCTTTCTAATTGCGATCAGCTCTGCAAGGCAACCCATTTTGGAAAAAAATGAGGAAGGCAGGAAGAGATGATGAAGAAAAGCACAGAAGGTTGGAAAGGAAAAAGGGGGGAAGAGACGAGAATTTTGTCCATGATGACCTCCTGCATGAATGGCTTGAACTAGTTCTGAGGCTTGGGCTTGTGGGTTTTATTTTCGTCTCTCTCTTCCCCCTTATACCATCCACTTTCTCTTTTCTTCGCTGTCGATCCAGCTGGCTGCGCATCTTGATCTTCCCGTTGGCTCCGGAAAAGGATTTTTCTGTTGAGCAGGGAATCGAACAAGGAAGGAGGAAGAAAAAGAAAACAATGAATGCAATACTTCGCACAAGCATGGCTTTTTTTCCCGGACTTAGGGGCGATCCTGCTGCATGGAACGATCATCTGGCTGCACATCGATCATTCTTTAGAGTAGAGCATGGTATTGAAGGCGGATGGTATGCCTTTCATGCTTTGTCGAGAGTAAGGTCTTTGGGTATAGAGAGGTCCTCCATGAATACTTACACCTGTCATAGTATGGTCTATAGATACTACATCAGACAGGAGTAAGTAGTATTTACTGGAAGCTCTGGTTAGTTAGATATAGTCTGCTTACTACAACTGAAGAAGGCTCGCAAGATAAGCCCGCAAACTCCGCGGCAAAATACTACTATAACCGCGCCACGCCATATCAAAATCAATGGCTTAGTTCATGTCACTCTGCAACAAACCTAGGCATGTCAAGTGAAGACACTAACTTAGTAGAGCCGAAGCTACCCCGGCGGACCGGCGAGTACCGCGCGAGCCCCCGAGATAAGCAGGAAGGAGTGCGGCGAAGATCGAAAATTTGGGGCTTGTCTATTTGAGACGTGCGGAGCGGCGAACTACTGTACGTACCTTTTTCCCTCTCTCTCTACCCTCATGATGGTCTAGACTCCATTTTGCGAACGTAAGTACGAAGTAGGCTACTTTAAGCCTTATCATAAGGTCGAGCGAGGTCCAAGTATGGATAAAGCGCGCGGGCCACTTTGCCCCAGCCACTTGTTCAGGCTGTGTATGTGTGTTGTTTGTTGGCTGTGTGGTTCTGCACTATTGGCACAGAGGACAAAAACCACCATTGAAAAGCATTCATCTGATGGATCATATTCAAACCCTCCTTTTTCATTCCCATGGATGAATAACTGGACAATGGCAATGCAAGTAAGCAATGGGCTTATCTCGGGAGCCGTGACTAATGGCGGGATTTTCATGAGTAAACTTTGCCTGTCCAACTGTCAACTGATAAGCTTGCATCCCGAACCCTCCAGGGATGACGCATAGTCTGCCCGATCCGGGAACCCTGCCTCGGACTTTTTCGAATAGTATCTATCTTCCTTTTCCCTATCTTTGGGGAGATTTATATTTTTTATTTTTTATTTTTTATTTTTTATTTTTTATTTTTTATTTTTTATTTTTTATTTTTTATTTTTTATTTTTTATTTTTTTTTTTATTTTTATTTTCTTCCGTGTCCCCTCATAGTGTCTCCGGATGTCGTGTATCGTACCCTCTTTAACTTTGTTCTTGCGTGCAGTGGCTGTTGTTGGTCTTGTGGTACTAGCTATGTATGGTACTTGTTTGAGTTAGTTATTGCAGGCGCCTAAGAGTCGGGATAGATAGGTGCTTAGTTGTCTTGCCTCTTTCTCGATCAACGCCACGTCACATTGCTTTTTACCAAGAAGGATGCGCCTGACGATCAGCTCGATGGATGCAAGACAGATTCTAGTAGAAGAATAATGGCTCACAATGGGCTTGTTACTGATCAATTCGATAGGTGTCGGTGGCCATGGTGAGGCGATGGTAGACTACTATAGTACTAGTTACTGTAGACAGTATACAATGATGATTCCCAAAAGAGCAAAAAAAAAAAAAAAAAAATGTAGTTCGGCATGACTCGAGACCCGTGATCCGGGAATTCAAGTCACGCTTTGGTCGGCGCTGTTTATCGCGTGGGTTTTATTCCTTTTCTGCATTGAAACTTCCTTCATTGGAAGGAGAGGATCGAGTCCACGCACGCCTTGTATTCCATTCATTCCCCTTCTTGTTTCTTTTCCTCTCGGGTCATCACTCTATCATTTAGTATTCTGCCCCAGCTAAGTATCGACTAAAGTGTTAGCTTCCCTCCTTCCGAACTCTAAGGACTATACTAGATTCCGCTCTCCTCACTTTGAAAACCCCCACTCCTTAACGGCTTTGAGAATCTCTTTCGCCAGGTTCCTCACTGTCGGAGCCGGCCTACGGGGCCGTTGCCACTCTCTTGGAGAACACCCGGCCATTCATTCATCCTCCCAAGCATTCTCCTTTCGGGGCACTGGGAACCCTCTACTAGGCCGGTACTTCGTACCCATGGTCAAGCTTGGTTCCTCGGGTGCACTTTCTTTTTCGTATGCTCGTTCCTTTTGCTTGGATGGCCGCTAGGAGCATGTGGTCCCATGTTCGGAATTGATCGTTATCATGGTGGAACTGGCACCATGACCACAGAGGAAAAGTACCTCTTCCCTGCTCCCCTCCCCTCCTTTAGGTTTCTGATTTTCTTTTCCCCGTTCTACAATCCCGGAATATACTACTATCGAATGGATCCTTCCAATAATACCGTGAATATCCCTTGCTGGGCGCTTGATAAGCCTCGTGTCCACCAGTGAGGTTCGCCACACTCCGCGCGACACTGTATCCCCCCCCCCCCCCCCCGATATTGAGGTATCCCCTTTAGGTTTGATGTTTATTGATCTAATGACAATTTTCTTGATTACCTGGAGTATTCTATTTCCTTTCAATCGATTTGCAATATTGGTTTCAGGGCTTACGCTTTCCTTCCATTTATACCCACCAATCCGTCTGTGGCCCGGACATTCTTTGTGACAGCCGCTTGCTGAAGCCCCGTAAAGAGACATGTCTGTCCTACTCGAGTCTGGACAGTTGTAGGTACCCTGTGACTTTCGAATCCTTCCTTTCGCCGATATATTAGATGTCTGGTCCCGCCTGCGGGGAAGCGCCTGATCTTGGCCCGGATCGCCATGAGTTCGAAATGTCGGCGGCCATCACCTCACTCTGGTGGCCCGAGGATCGCGTGAAGGCCACCCTTTGTCCCGAATACGTCTTTAACCACCTACCTTCGAACATCTTGCACCGTCTCGTCAACCCCTTGCCTTGGGGAGAGGGTCTGACTAGCGAGTCTTACTTAGACTGGATCCTCGCCAAGGCCGGTAGAATCTTCCTGATCCTCGTGGATATCGGCATACCGGAGCGCATCTTTGCCCTGGTCGATGAATCATTAGATGACACGGATTTACCTTTGTCGGCACCGAGTACCACTCGACTTCCTCTCGCACCTGAAGGGCACAACGCAACTGTTGCCCACAAATTCTTTCTCGCTCAATGGCGGTTCACGGTACGCGGTATCAATGAAGGCGACCATATCAAGTATACTCAGAACGAGGGGGTCCCGGTGGAGCTTCTTCGTACCGGAACGTCTCTAGTGAGAGAGGGCGTGGAGAAGGTTGTTCTGGCTGGCTCCAAATGTCGTGTGCTGTTGCGAACGCAAGTCTCTATTGGCGGCGCACCGCATTTCTTCGAGGAGAACGAGGTGTTGGAAGAAATCCGCTCTCTGAGAAGGCTAGCCCACGATCACGTCTACTCAATCTACGCCTCCTACTTTGTGGATACCACCGTTTGCATTCTTTTCTCGGGCGTTTACGAGCGAACACTCATGTCATTCCTTACCGACGTGCCTCAACCTTTCAAGCGCCTCGCCAAGAACAAGCGTCGAGAGATATTAGTCAATTGGCCACATTGTCTGGCTAATGGACTGTCATGGTTGCATGCACATAGCCAGGCCCATAGCCTGATTTCTCCGTCGAACATCCTGGTTGACGCAGACTTTCGGATTTTCTTGGGCCAGTTCGAGGCTCTCGACACTCTACTATCCCCACTCAAGCCGGACGACGTTGAAACCTACCAGTATGGTGCGCCCGAGCGATGGGTGCGCTCAGTCAGTATTCAAGACACAAGCGCACCAAGCCCAAACATTGCGCTCCCATCAGGGGGGCGTTCGGCTCGCAAACAGTCGTCCCGTCCAGCAATGCTGAGCTTATCTAGATTCAGGGGCTCTCAACCGTCGGATCAGGATACAGAAATACACGCGGAGTCTGTGACGTCGCAGGGAACTGCCATACGTATCGGCCGCCTACGAGGCTCACCTTCTCGGATATCTTTCACCAACTCATCTTCCTCTGGATCAAGCGTTGGGAGCGCCCGCAAGCGCGTGGTATCCTCCATAAAACGACCGATGTTCTACACACCGTCCATCACTTCGTCCAACTCCAATTCTTCTAGATCATCAACCACTCCTTCTACTACTACATATGGCCAGTTTGGCTACCCAATCATCGGTTCCAACGCCGCAATCGTTCATACGTGGCAAACACGCCAGTCAGATCCAGAAGCCTCGGACATATTCTCACTTGGAGCAGTATTTCTAGACATCTTCACTCATTTATGCAAGCGCAAGCTCTCTGCTTTCTCACACCATCGAGGGGCCAAGAACCGGACCGCTGGCCGCGGTGGCGGCGTCGCCGACTGCTCATTCCACCTCGACCGAAACGCCGGCCAAGTGAGCTCCTGGATCGCCCTACTGGACAACGATGCGAAGAAACACAAAGATCCCATCTTCCAGGCTGTTCGACCGATGCTTACCGTCGTACGAAGCATGCTAAACAGAGAGCCTATGAGCCGTCCATCTGCGTATCAGGTGGAGCAGCTTCTGGCCCACTCACTCCAGAAACTGGATGGAAGCTGTAGCCTCCACTGTACTTCCGACCTGCAAGTCCACGCTCCCAGGACAACAAACCCACTCCGTCTAGGCGCACAAGCAGCCTCATCATCAGACAGACTCGTTGTCCCGCGAGCAAAGCCACTAGGGGCCAGATCCCCGTCTCCAAGTAGTCCAATGACTGCCGAATTCTCATCTACTAGCTCTGGAGGACCCGTGAGCCTCCGTCCCTCTCCTTCAGCCTCTACCTCGAGTTTCAGCTTGCCTGATCAGCAATACACGGACAACTATATATATAGCAGCGACACAGACCAAGAGTACGACAAATACAGTACCTCTTCGTCGCCCGTCCCGTGGCGTGACCCAGATCATGGTCTAAGTCCGGCAGCACATAACGATGCGACATGGAATTACAGCATCGCTCTGGGGAAGCATTAGCCTTTACTATATATATACCCGTTCCAAAGCGATAACCACATGGCACTTGGCCCCTTCTCCTTGTATCATTGACATACTGCCCTCTCGATCAACAACCAGTCACTTCATCGCCGCATTACTGGTATACTACTACACTTTCCCTTCCACTTCTCTATTCCCATGCGCTCCGCAGATACTACTTGTACACAACGTCATGCCTTGTACATTCTAGGCTTTTCGGGTTCTTCCTCTCTGATACTACTATATACCTTTACACTTCATTTCTTTCTCAGGAGACTTGGCTTTTTTTATTTTTCTTTCTCATATATCAATATGCCAGTCCTCCTAACGATTGATGACGAATGACCGCTTGTCCTTGCTTTGGGTGATATCCTTATCTATTTCACTTATTTACCTTTCCGTTTCACTTGTACTTAGCTTAGTCATTTAATCAAATTCTACTTTCTATGCATACACTTCTCCTGGTACATTTCCGTAATGAATATGAATACGCGTGAAAGATAAGAGGACATCAATTCCATAATCCCACCATGACTATCCAGTAGTAAGTAACCCACCATCCACGCCAATCCCTATCCCACAAAACACCCCTGTATACTCCAAAATCAATTCCAAATTCATCATCAGATCAGTCATAAAATAGAAATCCACACCAAACCTCGAACACGGATAAAGTAATAACAAATAGAGATAGAGCGTAACTAGACCCCAAATGGTGGATAAAAATACCCGACTGACCACTCGCATACTACTGTACTACTTAGTACATCTCACATGCATCTAACCAATCACCTACAACCACCACGCCACGCCCCCAAGAACCACACAAAATAAAGCAGACACATCAAGCCGGAACAGAAAGCCACTACCATTTCCAGCATGCATGGACGAAGCCCCACTCGATGGGCTGTAAGCGGCTACTCCGCTTGGGTTTGTACCTGAAGGAGAAGACTGCTTGTTTGATACCGATTTCGAAGAATCTGCTCCTGATTCGGATGCAGTACCTGTGGTGGTTGCGGTGGCGGAAGCGGGAGAGGTAGCATCATCGTCACCACCAGAGTTGTTATCATCATCATCATCAGCATGGACGAAGGCCTGACCTATAGTTGGGAGCGGGGCGGATGGATCCACGGCCCATCCACCGTCCGTCGAGGCAGGGCATTCTGGAGGGGAGATAGCCGCGGTGGATTTGACATAGTCGGATAGAGCGACGCCGGTAGGGTCGAGCGTAGCCCACTGGTTCTTGAGGTTATCAAAGTCAGGTTGGATCGGGGTGGGTTCACCCTGGCGAGTGAAGCCGTCCTGGACGATGATATCCTTGGTAGCAGTTGGGGGGGTGTCGGCGCCGGGAGGGCCATACTCGATCAGGCCGTAGTCGTTTGTTTCCTCGATCCATTCGTAGATCATAGCGCCAGACCAGGTGCCCGACATGTGGTCACCGAAGATGGCGGCCTGGTCGGAGAAGGTGCGGGGACGAGCTACGTTGCATCCTGTTTCGGAGAAGAAGATGGGGATGGGGTAGCCTTCTGCTTCGTCTTGGAGGGTTTGGTAGCCGGACAGCTCGTATGAGGAGTCACCGCACCATTCGTAGGCGTTGAGGGAGAAGAAATCGAGTCGTTCGGCGGGGTCAGAGCGACAGGCTAGGTAGTTCTGCAGCATGGGGCGCAGTTCGGCGATGTCTGCGGCCGAATAGCCGACTGGGATGGAGCGGTAGTGCTGCGCATTGCGATAGGATTTGATGTCGCGGGCTGCGGCTAGCACGTAGGGGGCGGCGGCGGAGCCGTCCTTGGTGGTCAGGACTTCGTTACCGACGAAGACTCCGGCGGTGTTGTCGTATTTCTGGAAGGCGTCCAACACGGCTTTGAAGCTGTCGAATTGGGATTGGTCCCAGTGAGGGTCGTCCTGTAAAATGGGGATGAAGTGGTTAGTATGGGTAAGGGTTTTGTTGGCGGCCTGATACGATGATGGGTCGGGTGATAGGTCATGAATAGGGTATAGACGGTGGTGGTGGTAAGTGCATACCTGGGAGATCGCGGTGTCGAACGTGTCGAGATCGACGAACAGGTAAATGCCTGCATCTGCGAAAGCTTTCATGCATCCGTCGTGGTTGGCTTTAGGGTCCACATGGTACACACGGATTGCATTGGTGCCCAACTCGGCCATGCGGGCGGCATCTCGCGTGCATTGAGCGGTGTCAATCAGGGGATCTTCGGGAATGAGTTGATAGGCGATGCCTAGACCATGGCGTGCGGGTCAGTGCGTGAGGAACTATCGTGGGTCGAATGGAGACACACGCACCTTTGATGTAGTATTGGGTGCCATCTTCGTAGAAGAATTTTGAACCAACCGCCGAGATGGTTTGTATGGCACTGGCGGTGGGGGCATAGAACGTGGTGAGCAGCAACGATAGAGCAGTTGCAGATGATGACCAGTGTGTTTTGACCATTGTCCTCTTGCAGTCCCTGCACGCGGCTTGGCTCTCTGCAAAGTAATCTGCGATAATAGATCGGGTGGGTACTCTGCAGTCTCCTTCCGGGGATTCTGACCGCTATCCTTATCCAAAGAGTGATAAAACACAGCGAATAGACCAGTCCAATGCGTCGGTATCAATTGAGTAAGACGGAGTGCAGAAGTTAGTGGAACACGCCAGCAAAACTGCCTGCAGCTGTCTGGACAGTGAATGTTGTAAGTTGTAAAGCAGGTAGATAAGACGACCCAGGGAATGAAAATGCAGATACTTGCATGGACGAGAAAACACCTGTTCTAATATAACAGATGCACGAATAACTGTTGAAGTCACTCATCCCCCCAAGTATCTGCCTCCCCATCGTCCTGGCGCCCTGCCATACCAGAGATACCGTGTCTTCCCTGGAGGAGACATACTCGGGAGTGTTGTTGTAAGGAGCGTGACGTCAAAAAGAATCCTGCAGCTGCGTTAAACTCATTGTGGCTCTGGAGTGGATGAGCAAAGGAGAGGCAGTCCCAATCTCCGGGGAAGATGGAATGCAGCACGATCGAAGGGGGGACAGCTTAATGGATGCCAGGGTGCATGGGATCGACAACATGGATTGGATTGTTTATGCAGGCATTGCAACAAGGTTGTCGCGAACTATGTGAGTACCGCGTCGGAGATATCTGGGATACCACAGTCAATAATGTTTGGGTTAAGCATTTTATCTGAATGGAACTCTGAACTTTGGTTACTACAAAGTATCTGAGTATGGGTACATTAACAATTCCGATCTACAAGATTCCAAGCAAATGTTCATGAGTGGCCTGGTTCCTGACCCAAATTGGCAATCACAGACCCTCACGTGATTATAGGGGTTTCGCACAACAAGACGTTTCCCGATTAGTCATGAATCGTTCCTTTGAAGGAAAAGGAGGAAGCGAGACAAGAGGGAAATGAGGTAATAAATCCAAATTATTATTGATACACAGTAAGTAGATAGACTGATACTAATTTTGCTACGGGAAATTAAAATTAAAATAAGACTGGAACTGAAATGGAAATTGCTTGTGTTTCTCGCCTGAAACCTGTAGGGCAGGGAGGGCCCGAGTGGATACTACTTAGCACTTATGGTGTGGTAGGAATTGTGTGTCGCAATTGAATCATCCGGTTTGATCGCCTGGGCTGAACAGACGATTAATCTCTCAAACGATAGTGGCTAATAAATCTGAGGAGGGGGGCAAAGTGAAGTTGGGTAAGAAGCTACTATTAATATGTATGCTATGATTTTTTTGTCAAGATGTGCTGGGAACATGGCACTGGGTGGACACGATCCAGCGATGTCAGGAGGAACCTGACCAGTTGCAAGCCATTGCCCGGGATTGCCCGCCCCCTTATTGCTGGAAGTGTTCTGCTTTGGGCTCTCCGGTCTCGCCCAAAGCACGAGGAGCGATGGGTCTTGGCAACGATCGAGACCCTGGCTGGGCCCACCGCCTAAATAATTAGGATCATCTGGAGATGGGGTCTGTTCTCTGCTAGTTACCGTTACTCTCGGCCGCTTGACGTAGGATGCTGTTGAGATTTTCAAAGAATATAAATATGAATTAAATAAGGAAAAATTCTGAAAAAGCAACAGAAATCAAAGTACGCAACGTAGACAGCTTCTTCGTTGTAAAACAACAACTATATCCCCCCATCCTTCTTGGGGGATGGAAAAAAAGGAGATGCAAGCAGAGAGTTACAAGCAATCGACTAGTGAAAGACGGATCGTCACCGGCTTGCGTGGATGACGGGGCCTCGTCTGACTGGGGCTTCCTTTTCCCGCATGCGTGCCATTTCCCTTTCCAAGGAATCTCCGCCAACGCTTTCATTTCATTTCCTCCTTTTCCTTTTTCATTTCCTGCTTTTCCCTTTTCCACACCCCCATCCCCTCTTTTTTCTTTTTCTTGCCCGTTTCTGACGTGCTGGGGGGTTTAAACTCATACTAAAGTAGATATATCTACAATTCCCATTGTCCCTTCTCCCCTCCCCCCTTCTTTTTCTTCTTCACCTTATCTACCTACTATCCACCCTCTTACCACACCTAATTCCTCACCAACACACACTCAATCCTCGTCTATTCTGGTCTGGATCATGCTATCCGTGGTTCTCCCGTCTTTCAAATTCGCCCTCTTTGGAAAGCTTCTCCGCCCACTTGTGCCTCGTTTGATTGGCTCGGACTAGTCGTTTCGTGTTTCGCCCAAATTCAACCCTGTTGTGCCTCCCCGGTGCAACGTCATCCTTATTCGCATATTAGTCGTCGGATTGCTATTTTTGTCCCCATCGCTATATATTACCGTCTTCATAATTTATTCCCACCTCTTTCATCGTTACGGTCTATCCGTTGCGCAATTAAGCGGTTGACCGCAACATGTCCACCACCAGCACATATTCCCCATTTCGCATCTCTCCCCGGGATCGCGCCAATTTGGATCGCAATGAGGCTTTTAGGCTTGTGAGGGAGCATCTGAGGCGCCAGGAACTGGGCATGAAGGCTCCTAGGTACGTGTTTTCAACCATCAAGAACATGAATCCGCGGTCAATTATCGTAGCTAATACATCGGCTATAGCTTTTGTGCCGAGCATCGCCATGATACCCCCAGTCAAGAACAGGAAACCTTCCGCCTTCATCGCGATATCATCCACACCATCCTCCTCCCTCTGTTCCTGCTCCACCATCAAGCCTCGCGTATCGCGACCAATGTGCTGCCACGCCACAAAGGCGCGGAATGCGAACGGGCGTTCCGTGGTGAGGCGCGTGGTGCTTATGCTTGGCTGCATTCCATTCTGAGCGAAGAGCATGATTGGTATTTGACCGAGCGCTGCCCCGCCTGTATCGTTCTGCACGTTATGAACTCGGAGCCGACCATTCGATTTGTCGCCGTGGCGTGTCTCCTGTCAGACCACTTGCAGGGTCTGGACCTCCCGAGCGCCAAGAGACGGCTGCCTAACTTCGACTTTTGGTACGAATCGCTGGAGAATGCCGTCCGTGAGGATACGTTTTGGGGCGAGGGCTTCTGGCCGGACATCGAATATCGCGCCTGCGCCTTGACCGATGGTGTGAAGCAGCTGGTGCTGCAGTGCTTGGAGCTGCAGGCTGCTCTGGACCGACACGACCTGCAGCCCGAGGAGTCGTACCGACCGACTCAGCGCTCTCGGAATGACTCGTCACGGCCGTCCGTTACGGTGAAGCAGTCCAGCTGCACGCCGCTCCCTGTCATCGACGAAGAAGACCAGAAGCTCTTTGCCAAGGCCGGCGCCAATCGCGGCATGCATACCTGCCGCAGTGAGCGGCCGCAGAGATTTCACGCTCGCCGCCATGGTGACCCTCGCAGAAGATCGGTGACATCTTGAATGATCGCAGGGGTGCTTGTGTCAAGCGACCAAGCTGGAAGAACAATCTAAACAGACTACCTGTCGTGGGTCTAGTCGCCAACGGTCTGGAACCATCCTGCATCGGGATGGCCGAATCCGCCGCCGAAATTAGGAATCGGCCCACTGACGTGAGTTGCAAACTTATTGCAACCACCTCTCAGTGAAACTATCTACAGTCCCGAAGCAAGTAGGTGCGCACTAAGCCTAGACGTGCCACCGAAGTTTCAATGCCCGCGTACTTCCTCTTGCAGAAACTCACGGACATCCCCGGGTGGATGTAACGTCGAGGACTGCTTCCGCGGAAATGCCTACCGTTGTGCATGCGTGTGTGGCTTGAGCAGAATTTGTCCAGATCGTGCAATCCTGTAAGCCATTCGCAGCAAGGGGGCAAAAGACGTGGTTCGGGTCTGAGGTTATTGTGAGGACAGCCACGGTTAGAGTGTGGAGGCAAAATAGCCTCACGAGGTGGAATCCGGAAGGATGAGGTAGTTCTATTCAACTGTATATACTTTCGATGGACGAGAAGGGCAATACATGCACAAACACTATCATTGAACCTATGTCATTCATACATTGTAGAACTGTAGCAGAATCCGACACAGATCCGCCCACACATCAGTCAACCATCCAACGTAAGCCATCTGACACTGACACAGACATAAACACAAAACACAAAACAAAACACGCAATCCAAGTCGATCAAACACACAATGACAACGTTCTGTAACCAACTATCTACCTCCCTACTACTATGTACCTAACACAGCTAGCTAGCCAGCTGGCTGGCTGGCTGTAAGCTTGTCCATCTGGCTAGCTGACAAGACAAGAAGGCAAGGGAAGTAAGTCAAAGTGGGGAACTTCATGTATGCATGTTGTCTGTTCAGTTCTATTCAGCAAGCCATGAATGAAAACAAACAAATCAACTACTAGCTATCTAATTGTCTCTCTTTGCCCCGTTTTGCCCCTCTATTATGTACTATTCCCCACTGCATCAACAATCAAAAACAAAAACAAAACAAAATATGATGATGAAAAGACAAATACAAAAAAACAAACCTGTTTTTGTTTTTGTTTTTTCCAGACCTTTGTATATCTGAGACATGATGAAGTGGATTCAATTGTGTGGTGGTGAACTAACTTACGTACGTACGAATGTGCCGTGTTTTCCCCACATTCTACTACCGCTAAGTATCTGGACTAACTTGTTAGGTGCTTTTGGTTGGTTGGTAGATTAGATTAGTTGGTTAGTTGGTTGGATTACTCCGCGATGGCGATGGCGAAGGAGGAGAGAAGTGGAGGGGAAGGAGGAGAGGGGTGGCGGCAAATTCGTATTCTTTCTATCTTGACTCTTTATCCATCTTGGACTAGTAGACGAAATAGGTATCTGGTGAGGGTTTTGGTGTGTGTGGGGATAGGGATGGCAATTATCTTATCGCATCTAGATTCGACATGGACATTGGACATGGTGGGTGATGGGTTATGTGGCACGGGAGAGTATATCTGTCCGTCTATACTATGTCTATCCTATTACTTTACTTGAATCATTTTATCCTCTGGTAGAAGAGATTGGAGGATGATGATGATGATGAATCTAGCCTTTAATCATTCGATCCTCTGGTTGAGTAGATTGGAAAGGATGAGTCTGGCTGGTCTCATGATGGAAGATCAATTAATCTAGACTATGTGGAGAGTAACGGGGAGGAAATGGAGTTGTCTGGAACCGTGGGTTAAGCATTGATGGTTGTATCTAGTTATGACGGGTTGATTTGGGAGAGCCATTAATATAGAGGACTATCAGACTAGTGGTAATGGGAGAGAGAGAGAAAGTAAGGTTGGAGACGGGATAGTTGTGTATGGCTGGATTTGATTACCGGAGGGAGAGAGATTTGGGGAATTGGGATTGGGTTATACGGGATGGGGGATTGAGATTCCATGGATGGGTGTGTTTGAGATTCCTTTCCTTTCTCCCTCTGTCTTTATTTATTTTTTTCTTTCTCCGTGGGAATAATGATAAGTTGATTGTCTAGTTTAATTTACTATGTATTGTTTTCTCTTGTACACTCTGTACTTGGTTAAGTGTAGAGTGGAGCATCAATCATCAGGCATGAATTCATTTTCCTGATGGATGGAGACAGGCCACGCCACCACACGAGAGTATCTGGTAGAAACATCAGGTTGTGTAGGTAACCAACGGGGTCTAGACTGGGTCCGAGTCGGATGGGATACAACCCGGTGGGGATCACCATTATCCACAATTCATTTTGCATTTTCCGTGCTTGCGATCACATCACGAGATACATTTGCTGGCACAACCGTATACCACCTACGTTTTAGTTGGATGTAGTACAGAGGATGTTCTGGATCGTGGGTGTGTGTGAGAGTGAGCCGTGTATACTTGATCAGGAAGGGCTAGTAATTAGATGGACGGCATGTAGATCCATACATCGCATCACATCCGGTCAGTCTCGGGAAACAGGATATCGAGGGATCTAGTAGTAGTAGTCTAGGTTCTGTTGGTAGATCAGAGGATCAGGTTTTGAGTCGTCGCTTCACTCTCAAAAGGAGATGGCTATTGTGGATGGATGGATGTGTATGCAGATGCCTTGTTCATGGTGATGTGAGTGATGAAGATCGTTCTCTTTCTGTAAGACTTTTGGTTTGGTTGGATATGCTATATCCCTGATATGGATGGCGATAGCATACGCATGCTCCTTATGCTGAAATTGTGTGGATAGATAGCTAGGGTCCAGAACTGGGTGACAGCAGTGATAGTGACAGTGACAGTGACACCTGTCAGGCAGGATCGCTTCAAGGGTCTAATTTCACGTACCGTGGAATTGTATCCCAGTCGGCAATTAAGAAGTTATATCGCTTCCGACAACGATGGAAATTAGCAGAAGAGGCTGGAAGAGAACTGATCTAATAAACAGGGCTTAATCGGTGATAGTGTTGGGCTGCGTGCGAGGCCAAAAGGAGGTGAGGATGATTTCAGCCACTTACGACATGCAATTCTCTTCGGCTATGGATGCGTACAGACGGGATCGTTCCAATGGACTGGACTGGGCTTGAAAGTGGGGTGAGTGAGAACAGGAGGGAGGGGAAAAAGTAGTAGCAGGAGCAAGGCGTGGATAGGCACCTTTCTTTTTCCATCGCTCTGCCCGTTGTATGTATATACCTCCTGTGTGCGACTGCGGACGACATCTGAGGTCAGACGCCGTGAGGCTGAGATAAGGAGACTTTTTTTTTTTTTTTTTTTTTTTTTTTTGTACAGAGAATAAAAAAAGGAGACTGAGATAACTAAAAGCAGTATACCTATGGACGGAGTTACCCGATTAGGTAAACACATGGAGATTGTTTTCAGTATGTTCAGCAGCGCCAAAAGTACAAACAACAAGCACACTAAGCTCCCTCTTCAGCCTCAGCTCTGCGCAGCCACGGGAGCCATGCCGGATCTACGATAAACCTGAAAGGTATAGTCCTAGCGAACTAATCAACTTAACTCTCAGACTAACTTGCTCCCGCACCATCCCTAAACCAATTTTCTCTCTTGCCTGACCCGACCTACAGTAACCTAGTCAAGCCCAAGCTACGGCCTAAGTTAAGTAAACCTTCGGTTAGAGAGGAAAGTCAGTTTAGTTTCCCGTAGGTAGTTAGTCTAGTCTAGAGACTGGAGAGGGAGACAAGATAGACCATGGCCTCCCAGTGGCCCCCTCCCTCCCCCCATCCATCAACCCTGCCTGATCCCAGAAGAATTGAACCCTATCCCGCCAATGTTCATCTCTAGGCCCATAATGGCCCAGTTGCGCACACACACAACAATAATTGACCTGGGTTTTCTATTATTCTATTTTCCCTTTTGATTCATTTCGGACCACATAAGGCGGATCTTTTCGGCAGCACGGAACAAGGGTCTAGGCGTCAATCCGCCCGGAAGCGGCAGTGGGTTTCGATCGCGCCATGCAAGCAAGCCTTCTGCTGCTCGGGGAGGCCAATGAGGGTGGCCTCAGCGCCACGCCGAACCAGGGTGAGGGCGAGACTGTCGACGTCAAGAGTCACTGAAATTTGGGGGATGAGCAGTTTTGAATTGCCGGTTGACTTTGGGACAGACACTGAGAGAGGCAGAGGGATTTGGCTTAGAGTTCCAGAACCATTTTTTCCTTTTGCTTGCCCTTGTTGGATTTTAATCAAATTAATTTTATTTCTTATTTTCTTATTAATTTCTATCTGGGTTTTCCATAACAGGTGATTCATCTCCTTCCTGGCTGGCTCAACTCACTCCCTCACCATCTCGCCCTTTTCCGGTCCGCGTCTACTCTGAGTCATGCTTCTACACCGTAAATATTTATTGTGCGTGGGAAATTTCTAGATTCAGCAGTGCAGGATCCATGAGTGGGTAAGGTACTGCGTACTAGTTGGTATAGGTCAGGTACAAATTATGGGGAATGGGCAATAATAAAGACGAGAATGAAGAACTACTACTGAAGGCTGAAGCGTGGCCGGGATCGAAGATGCTAGCACCATCACTAGACTAGTTATACGCTACCCACCTGGTTGAACGCTGGTTTATTAGTTTGCTCACCCTTGTGGTCTTAATCAGGGACTATGTTCCGGATTATCTGGGGTTTTTCTGATGTTGTTCGTTACTTCTGTGCAGTGTGCACCCGGCTTCGCTTCGGGATTCCCGAAAGCTTCAACTTTCTGAAGAATCACCACTACAATGTATGGTAGGTCAAATGTAAACAGGAAATTGATTGTAAATAAGCATCGGATCAGACGGTAAAGAGCAAGATCGATAAAGTGATGCTGATCCCAGGTAATACGAGATCTAGAGCAGAAGACAAGTTGTTGGTTACTGGTAACGGCCATTGTTACCAAGTATAGGCAGGCAGGCGGCAAGACTGCCACAGTGCGAGGGAAGAATAAAAAAGCAAACCTCCTGACCAGTTCGCCCTGGTTCAAATAACCATGCTGCCTTTTTTATTTCCCTTCCCTTTCTTTTCTCGTACACAATGTGGGCAGTTTGTAGTACCTGCCTGACGCCTGGCACGACGGCCGGATCCACCCAGACAGACAAGTCGTCATGGATCAAGCTGGTCATCCATGCTTTTCTTCCCAGGGTCCAGTCCATTACATCGCTTGCCTTGTCTTCATTACACACTTTACTTTGGCTGGTGGTTGTTGGTACTGCTGCTGCTGCTGCTGCTACAGACAAGACTCCCCTCCGACCGGGAAAGGCCAGACGGGCGGTGGGGCGCTGCTACTACTTTTTTTGGGGAGAGATGGGGGGCAAAACTAAAAAGGTGGGCACTAGGCCCGTGTAATGCCCGTTACGGTATCGCTGGGCCTGTCCCGGTTTAGCTCCGATCAGCCACTATGGAGGCCTAGACGAGTCGGAGGCGTCTGGGCCTCTGGAGGAGTCGGTTGGTCGGCTCAGTCCGCGACCTTGAGACTTGAGCAGGAAACCTTCCTGCTTTGAGTGGGAATAACTTGGATGGTTATTATATGGGATGAATAGCAAAAATAATATTTTTTTTAGGGTACAAATTAGCAGCTAGAAGAAATGAAATCGCTAATAAGGGTAAATAAAACAATGCAGGTGGAATGCCGGCGGGAGCAGATGATAGATTAAAAGTGTCCCGTTTTATACACCTGCATTGCTCACCCGCTGACTGGCCCGACCGGGCGTCCTCGTGTCATGACTTCCCCAATCAGGCCAAGGCCGGCAGGTCTAGAACGCCGGTGGAAAGTCGCAGCCCGAGGGTCTTGGCTGTCAGTCTCTGCGTCTGGCCCTTGGGTTAATTTCCCAGGCGTCATGATCCTTTTTCTGTCTGTTCTGTTCTGTTCTGCTTGAAACTGAACCGCTATTTTCCATCCGCGCCTAAACTTTCTCGACAGGGCCCGGATGGCTCTTTCTTTCGACTCTCTCGCTGACTCTCTGACACTCTCTGGTCTTTTCTTTCTCCCCCCCTTCAATCTCGCTCTCTTCTCCACTGTATCATCATCATCATCGTTTACCATTTACCTCTCTGTCTCTCCATCTTCTCATCTTTAACCTTCCTCTTCTTCCCTTCTTCCCACCTTCCTGTCATCTCTCGTCCTCTTACTACTTCCCCCCCTCCTCTTCCTCCTCCACTCCTCTTTTAGTGTCTCCCCGGTCTCTCTCTCTCATTCCCGACCGTCTGTTTTACTTTCCCTTCTAACCCAACAATTACTATTCGTTTCCCCCTCTCCCTGTCACGAACTCTGCCACGCCAACCAGCTTTTC